ATAATAAATTAGCCAATACTATTCCTTAATGGATCCTAAAAGCTTGTGCCCAGAACCATTTTAATCCAATTAATGGGCTCGCTAATGGGGAGAGCCACATTTGCAACATGACAGAATTCTTTTCGACGACCCTCTTCTCAATTACACTCAAGGGCAGAGTTCACACGTTTTATTCATGCTGGCACTCTAGGCCCGTACTCCAGTACGGAATGTGGAAAATGAGACATTCAAATAAACATGGAATGCGCTAGTATATTTGCTTTGACCCTGGGTGCAAGATTTCCCGAAACTAACCCCTGTTTGGCGGCAAATACACTTAAACAGCATGTGCACAAGGACTAATGCCTTGTTAGTGTGACTTTTGACTCAAACATCCCAAGAGCCCTAATTGCCCTAATGATGTTCTCTGGTATGGAGTCTTCCCCCAAAATACGTGATCTGGCTCTGGGGGCCGACACAAGATACAAACACCCGAACTGAGCGTCTGGCGTCCGCGGGCTGGGACCTCAGCTCCCCGTTTCTGCCGGCGTGAGACCTTACCAAGCGACCTAACCTCGCTGCGACCCGTTTTCCACGTCAGCGCAGCCAGGGCAGCCCCCCGCCCTCCCGGGGCCGCTGTCGGGATCGCACGAGATAACACGCGCGTGGCTCCCCCTTTCCGCCCCCCAGAACGTTCTCGGTGGAAAGGAGAAGTGGCCGTCTTCATTCTTCACGGCTGATTTCTTTGCAGATGCACCTCTGAGCCCCGGAGCCCAGGGCAAGCCTCGCGCCGAGCCCCGTGCCCGCAGCCGGCTGCGCTCGCACAGACGCCGGGTGTTTTCACGCCTGGCGCTCTCCCTTGCGGGGTGGGCATCGGGGTACTGCTCCCCCGAACCGTGCCCCGAGCTGCGCGCATTGCCCTCGCCCGGCTCCCTTCTACGTGCCCCCCACCCCCCCGAATAACGAGTAAGCTAATGATGCGGCTGTTGGGGGGTGGGGGGCAATAACATGTTCCGTCTCTCGCGACGCCGGAGGATGGAAACGACCACGTCCGACCAGACGCAGCCCCACGGCCGGCCCCACTCCGCACCCCGGGCATCCGCATACCAACGCCTTCGGGGGAGCAAACGGCGCTTCCTCGGCGCTGGGGGAGCGGCCTCCTTCCGCCGCCCGCCGCCCGCCCCCGTCAGACCCCCGACCCTACGCCAGCCCCTCCACGGCCGCCGCGGGCCGCCCGGCTCGACCCTAGCATCCCCCGGGGGCGGTTTCCCCCGGCGAGCCTCACGCCGCTGCCTTCGGTGCCCACCTCACCTCAGGGCCAGGATCGAAGCCGCGGCGCTGTCAGGCCCCGCCGCGCTCGGTCTGTGCAAACCGCGCGGGGGACGGAGCTCCGAGAAGTGCGTGAGGAGGCGGCCCGCGCGCGTCCCCGCCGCGGCGCTCCGAGTGCCCCTGAGCCGCAGGGTCTGCGGCGCTCCTGGGAGAAGCGCTCGGCGGCTGAAGCCCGGCTCCGCCTCCCGCTGAGCGCACCTGAGGGCGGGGCTCCTGCAGGACGGGACCGCGGACGCGCGCGCCCCCGCGGCCCCGCCGCGCGCGCCCAGGCGCAGGCTGGGAGGGCAGCGCGTCCGCGAGGGGCGCGCGCCTGGGGGCGGGGCTCCGCGGGGGCGGGGCCAGCGGGGCGCGCCGAGACCAGGATCCCGCGCGCCCGCGTCGTGTGGCGCTTCTGTGGCGACCTCCCCACGCTCTTGTGTGCGGCACGGGCAGAAACAGCCGTCCTGAAGACAGGAGCTCGGCTGTGAGTCCGAACCTGCGTGACCTTGGCCTGCGGCCCTCCCCGTCGCTGCTGCCCCGGGTCACATCTGGTTGTAAGAATCCGTTTTTTTCGGTGTCCCGGCGTGTGACCGGTCCTGTCCCAGGACTGCGTGTCCATTCCCTCCGCTGCCCCTTCTTTCGGCGGCGTGTGGGGTGCAGTGACGTCGTTTTCGTGACCGCTGCCTCGGCCCCCCATCAGACCCCACCCGGGACAGCTGGACGCGGAGGATGCGTTTGGTTTCTGGTGTTCTGTGAGCGTCTGGGAAAGTGGGAGGTCCTGGACCTTAGAGAACGGCCTGGGGCAGAGGGTATCTTTGAATTACTTTTGCAGAAAATATAAACCGATGCTTATAAGGTGACCTAGGGGGTAGGCGAAGATGACCGTAAAGAAAAGCTCCCAACACCAGCGTTACAGTCTCCCCTCCAGATTTCTGTAAGGTCACCTTTCTTTGCACAGTTCTTGACTTTGGGGAGATTAACTTAATTTAAAGAAAAAAAAATATTTTTTAATCCTGTCGATCCTGTGTACATCATGCATTTTTTAAAAACGTATCGTTGTTTTTCGGCTCAAATGGAAGCCAAATATTCCCAACAGTTGCAATGGTAAACTCTACCAAAAAAAAAAAAAAAAAGATCAAGGAATCAAGTTTTATTTATTCTACCGAATATGGATTAAATAGGACATTCAAAGAGGTTTAGCAGAATCCATGATGATTAAAAATCTGGCTTTGGGAGTTGGAGAAAGGGAAATAGACTGTCCTAGAAACTACGCCGGAATACTAAAGAAGGCAGGTAATGAAAATTATTCATGGTATATTTTTTCTCTTGAGATATCTAAAACATTTTAGTTACAAATTCAGAAGAATGCATTCTCTTTTTTTTTTTTGCATTTTATTTATTTATTTACTTACTTACTTATATTTTTTAACCACAGTTTACATTCAGTACCATGCTGCACCAGTTTCAGATGCACAGCAAAGTGGTGGGGAGAACCATGCACTGGACAGAGTGGTCCCCTGGCTGCCCCAAGCACCTTCCTGGCCCCATACTTCATCATCTCAACATTATTGACTATCAGAAGAATTCATTCTTAATGGCCTTGAATTTGTGGTCAAATAAATAAATGTAGATCAAAGATAAACTTGGCAAACTATACAACAAATTATACATTCACCCCAACTCTCCAGTTATACTTCTGACTAGTAGCCTTAACCTACTATTCAAGGCATTTGTTTCCTGAATTTCTTATCTTTGTGATAGTCTGTCATTTATTCTGTCTGTTTATGCTGCCACTCTGGCTTCAAGGTAACATGACCAAAACCCAATTATTCTGTAAAACTCTCATGCCCCAGACAAAATTATCTCACTTTCCTCTGGACTGCATACATGCTACCATCTTGTTCATATCATTTTACTTATACACTGTCTCTTCAATTAAATTGTAAGTAGTAGTGTGGGATTAAGAGCTTTTTCTTATACCAATTTAAATTTTCAGATTGTAGGCATCATAGTATGCAGTAAATGTTGTTGATAGTACTACTGATTAAAAAACACATATACAAGAATATGCAAATACTGTTGTCATTATTGTCCCCACAAAATGTCCACTTACACAACAAAATCTACCTAATAAAAGAAAGGGAAAATACTAAATTCTTATGGAATGAATGACAAATTATGATACTGTGGTTTTGGGAAAAACATAAAAGAGAAGCCCAAGAAAGACCTTTTAATAAAAAGATTGCACAGAGTTATGTATTGACCATGACATACTTCACTCTCTTTGAGGGGGATGCTTATCAGATTGCATGTACCTTGTAAACAACTTAGCCATATCATCTTAACCTACATTTCCATAGTTACAAGGCCCAAGTATTAAATAAATATCTGCAGGGAAGATGTTACTTTCTGAGCCTCTGCATCTAGGAAATAGCAAACAAGCCATACAGCTTGGTTGTCATGGTAGCAGCCTAAATCCCCATACCTCATTAATAGGTTCTTAGACAAATAAATCACATGGGAATGCATAGATCATAGAAGTCGTAGATTGAGATTTAACAAGTTCCTAGCTGAACAAAATAAACGATGAACCAAAGTTTTGACAGTATTCAATGTAGAGAAAGAGAATAAGGCTTCCTACCCTAAACACCAGCCTACACCATAACCTCCTACTGGTGAACAATGGATTATATTTGTGTTGATTTTGTACTTCCTAGCAACCAAAGCCTTATTTAGTGGATTTCTTATGCTTTTGGGCCAAAATTAAGAGCAAAATGTCTAAATTGTTAGGGCAATTTTTTCAGATGTCTTTTTTTTTTCTTTTTTGGTATATGCCCCTAGTGGGAACTGAACCAGGGACTCTCTGGTCCGCAGGCCGACGCTCCAACTGCTGAGCCAAATCAGCCAGGGCTCAGATGTCTTATCAGTACATTATTTTGCCTGATTATCAATACTTTGAAAATACTATATACCATTTTTTAAATCTGTTACTGTTCAATGCTATTATTATTTGTTTTTAAACATATGCCATTCCAGAAGCTAAAAAAGTGCCAAGAGAGTGATGTGGTTTCTAAATTCAGGATTTAAATTAGGTAGAATTTCAAAGAGTTTCAAATTGGTACCTTTTTCTAGAACAGGGCAAGAGAAATTAAGAAACACAGCCTTGACTGAGAAAGTAGGAAAAGAATCTCATATCTTTTTTTTTTTTTTATCCTCACCCAAAGACATTTTTTGATATTTTGTTCAGATAGAGTGGGAGGGAGAGAGAGAGAGAGATACATCAATGTGGAAGGGACATATTGAGTGGTTGCCACCCACACAACCCAACCAGGGCCGGGGACAAACTGCAACCGAGGTACGTGCCCTTAGGGGGAACCAAACGTGAGTCTCTCCAGACCGCAGGCCGACGCTCTAACTGCTGAGCCAAACCGGCCAGGGCCAGAATCTCATATCTTTAACAATAGAATTCTAACCTACCATCTCAAACTTGGCTGAGATTGTTATTAAGTTTCCTGAGGAAAGGTTTAATTAATAATTGGTGGAGGATTGGAGAAAGGAATGACTTCTGAAGGCAGTTTCAGTTTAACTTTCATTACTACTACTAATGTTGTTGTTGCTTTTATTACATTTAAAAGAATTCCAGGTATTATATCCTTTCTTTGTATTTCTCCAAACAGAAAAATTATTCAAGGAGATTAATATTTGAAGAATATCTTGCGAAATTTAATGTTTCAAAACTCACCCAACCAACAAGAGTATATCAAGTACCTAGTATTCTTGCTTAGCAAGAACCCCAACTTTGCAGCTGAACCAAAAAAGGTAAAGAAATCAACAATTATTCTGAGACACCAAAAAAGAAGTGAAAGAGTATCAAATGGAAAATGATATTTGTTTCACTGTTAAACTGTGTGATGCAAACTGTAAAGTAACAGGGAAATCACTGAGGGCTGGAATTACCTGGTACCTTCGAGAGGAAAAGACGGGGAGACTGGTTTAGCAGTAGTGGAGAATACATTAGAGGGCAAAGGGAAATAAGCCGGCACAAGTTTTTATAAACACAACATTACCAGTTGATCTAAAATATAATGCAAAAGCTAAAAAAGAGACTTGACTCTATTGTGTATTCTTTCCCTACTCAGTAAGGAAAAAAGTGGTAAAGGTGAAATAACATAGAAAGAGAACTGAAACTTGAGATAGGTGAGGAGATAGTAAGCAAACACCTATCTGTTTCAAGTAAGTTCATGTGTTCCAGGCACAAATTACATCCCACAGCTGTTTACAGGTAACCTAAGACCCATTGCTGATAACTTCAGAAAAACTGTAAAATATGAAAAAGATGATAGATTACCTGCTTTTAAAAATTGTTTAAAAGAGTATGCCAAGTGAAATAAGTCAGTCAGAGAAAGACAAGTATCACATGATCTCACTTATTTGTGGAATAGAATGAACAAAATAAGCTGATGAACAAAATAGATCCAGAGACGTGGAAGCAGGGAACAGACTGACCAACCTCAGAGGGAAGGGGTGGGGGATGGGGGGCAGGAAGAGACAAAGGAAAGAACTAATATGCATATATGCACAACCAGTGGACACAGACAACAGTGTGGGGAAGGTGGGAAGGGACAAGGAGGAGGGTGTCAGTGGGGGGAAAGGGAGGGACATCTGTAATACTTTCAACAATAAAGAAAAACAATTTAATTAAAAAGTTGTTTAAAAGATAGACACTAAAAACTTTAAAACAGAAAAGTAAAATTCCAGAGTACATAATTAAATATATTTTATGAAAAGTTATAAGAGAGTTTGGTGATCACTAAGACCCAAACCACCTAAAGGTAGGTCATATTATGTGTCTTTTTTTATTTTTTCTTTGAATTAAAATGAGAATTATAGAGTCATGATATAAATTAATTTCAGCAAACTATTTAATCCAGTCTTTCATAATATTTGTGGATGAGACTCTAAGAGCTTGATATAATTTTAATTAAACTCCAAAAGTTAGTTGGATAATTGTAGCCAAATTTTTGTTTATAATTTTTCATACATTATATCGGTGAGGTCATAATGATCATTCTGGTCAAATCAGAGGATAAAAACAACCTATATAGCATAGAAATTATGACTGAAGACTGAACTAGGAAACAAAATTATATTAATTTAAACTCTGAGCCAAAATCTAAAGTAAAATTTAACAGAAATATATGAAAATCTCTATGTGTGTTCAAATTGAAAAATAAAACTGCAGAAGTACAAAATAGGAGAGATTCTGGTTTAGCCATGTAAAAAGTGTCCAGAGGCTTCAGTGTCTGCCGAGATCAATGTGAGTTCATAATATACATAGGTAGCTTGTAGTGATACCTGTAACACTTTCATTTGAAAAACTGTCCACAACCACCTGCTCCTTCCTTTCATTTGGAGGATCCCTTTGCCAGTAATCCCCATAGAATAGCAGAGTAATGACCTCGGTCCACCCAAAGATGTGCGAATCCTGATCCCTGGAACCTGTGAATGTTACTTTACAAATTCAGTGGTTCTCAACCTTCCTAATGCTGCGACCCTTTAATACAGTTCCTCATGTGTGTGGGGGTATCTGCATGTGGGCGGACCCTGCTGGAGACAGATAGAGGAGCGGTGTCTCAGTTCCTAAGACCATTGGAAATATGTGTTTTCCGATGGTCATAGGCAACCCCTGTGAAAGGGTCGTTCGACCCCCAAAGGGGTAGCGACCCACAAGTTGAGAACTGCTACCTTACATGGAAAAAGAGGATCAAGTTTGCTAATCAGCGAACTTTAAAATAGGGAGATTATCCTCGATTATATAGGTGGGCCCAATGTAATTATAAGGGTTCCTAAAAGTAGAAGAGGGAGGCAGAAGAGGAAGAAGGATGTGATGTGAGAAGAAATCAACCCACCATTGCTGGCTATGATGGTGGAGGAAGGAACACAGGTGGCCTCAGACTCTAGAGAAAGTGAGGGAACATTGTCCCATAGAGCCTCCAGAGAGAAATGTGTCTTGGGCTTCCAACCTACTAAACCATATGATAATAAATTTGTGTTGTTTTAAGTCACTAAGATTGTGATCATTTGTTACAGCAGCAACAGAAAAAAAATACAGCTCTTACAACTTGTTTTCATTCTCTGCAATGCAGCCGTTTCTATTTAACATCCAAATGTCCTTCATTTTCTTTTCTCCCTGTAGGTAAGCCAGTAGAAAGTATAATGAACTGTTACTTACATGTTGTGAATTCAGAAGCTTAATAACTGATGAGACTGCATAATCAGATGCATAGTTAGCCTCTATAATCACTAGTTTTCTAATTTGTGACATAGGATAAAAAAATACCTACCTTCTTTGATTCTCTGGGTTTCTTCACAGAGTTTTTGAGATGAGGTGTGTGAAGTAAAAGCCAACTATTAGGGACACACTAATAAACACAGTTTATTCTTGTATTATTATTAACTATTTTATTAGTTTTTATAAAAACAACTGTAAACCTACTTTTGCCCCACCCTGTATGTCAGGTACTATCCTAGGCTTTGGGGATAAAATAATAAGACAGACATGGTACCAGCTGTTAAGGAGTTTCGACTGTAAGGAGGGCTATAGACAAAACGAGAAGCAACAATGGAATGTGGTCAGTAGCATCCTGGGAACCACAGTTAACTGGAGGGCATAAGTGATTCCTCTAATACAGACCTGAGAGGTCAAGGGATATTGTCCAGAGGAAGTCATACCTATACGAAGGTCTGAAGGCTAAGTAGGAGTTAGGTAAAGAGGAAGAAGAGAATATTCTGGTAGAATGCTGTTACCTTCAGGACTTCAGCCTCTTTCCCATTTATACCTCTCAACTGTCTCTAAAAACGTAAATAAATCCTGCTTGAAGGCTCATTCCAAAATAAAATTTGATGTTAACTCCCTGGTGTGAAATTTTCAAATGTTTCATATTTAATAAGCCCTGCATCTATAATACATTTTTATCTGATCCCACATTTTCTTAATCCAATGATCAAACAGTATTGTCTTAGACTACTTTATTTCCTGATCCAGTTAGAATATGGACCTCTCTTATTAACTAATCATAATATAAATAGCAAATGAAAAATAAACAAGTAAATGTTTTCTGTCTAGAGGATTTCATTCCTGTGGTAGCCTTCTTTTACCACTAGATGGCACTTGTATGCCTTAGAGACAAAAAATGCTGATTTAGTTTACCTTTCTGGAGACTAGTGAAACTAACCAAGAGGATCAGGACATTGAGAAGAAGGAACTCCCCAAACTAGAATTTATGTGATCCTGGTTCTTAAGTTTACCCTTAAAAATTAAACCCAACATTTTTCTTTCCTTTTGGACATATAAGACAGTAAGAAATTTAAAATTAAATTACCTTTACATACCTGCCCATCTTGTACAACAACCTCCCCACCCATGCTTTATTTTTCACTTCTTTTATTTTTACTTTCTAATAATACTGTCATTCTGACATCCTCACCTGGTAAACAGGACGACTTGTTGTTCCCTACTTTTGCCCTCAACCCTTCCGTCTACTTATTTAAGCTTTTGCTTTTCCTTCGACTTGGAGGAACCACTCCTTCTCTTCCGATGCTTACTCTCCATGTTACTTTTAGAAATCCAACTCTCAAGACACATTTCAACGTACATCTTTTCCATGAATTTTTTTCTATTGCTACCACAAGAAAATGCCTTCTCTTCCCTTTTCATTCTTTTAACGAGCTTAGTATTTTATTTAATAATAAATGTATCATGCATTATTGTAAATCTATATGCATCTAATTAGCACTTAAAGACTTTCTGCCTTATGATTATAAATGAACATTTCTTAATCTCTGTACTAAATAATGTTTGCCTCTGGAATGCGGAGACTGTCTTAGTCATCTTTATATTTCCTAAAATATTTAGCACAATATTATTTATTGAGTTAATTTGAATGGTGATGTCCAAAAGAGCTTTGCTAACACTCTAAAAAATGAGATGATATTCTTAGAGGCTTTTGAATAATTTGGATGAAATTAAATAGCAAAACCTATGGAACCAAAATCATCTTTCTACCTAGAAATGACAGTCATGGCATAAGACTTTCACCTCCAAGTTTATAGAAATTATTAATAGAATATACCTATTTTAAAGTATAAATCTGAACTCAAAATAGAAAAAGAAAACTTCAGATACCAGACATGAAGAAGAAATTCAAAGTCAAAGTAGTAAGGGCCAGGAATTGAGATTTTAACCCCACGTAAGATTTCAATGTGGCCCGAGAGCCATGTAATTAGGACCTGAAACTGGAATTAGGACCTGAAACTGGAATTCTTGCATAAATTGGAACTCAAAAGAGGTTTTTACTTGTTGAAAGCTAATGAAGTTGCCAATCTTCTACCCCGTCGTCTAGGTTTGGGTAGAGAGTAATGGTTCCCATGAAAAATGAAAGTCCATTTCTATGGAAATCCAATTTTACATTACTGCTGGGAAATAGAATCCCAACTCAGAAACAGAAAACTACCAAGCCCCTAGAGAAGCAAATGCAAAAATCCTCTATGAGAACATTTGCATAACTTAAGGCACAAGAGACCTGCACAGAATATACAGCTTTCACTGAAGGTGACCTCTCAAAATGTGCATACCACATAATGGAGCAATTCATCACAAAGAAGAGTCAGCAGATCGAGTGAATTGAAAAATACTTGTACTTAGTAACTTCAGTGACTAAAACAACCTGAAATGATTACAGAAGAATACAATGCTTAAAAATATAAAAGGAAGAATATGAAATAAAAATACAAGAACAAGATTAGAGGAAAAAAATATTTGACAAGGAATAGGACTTCATGTATTTCTTAATTTTTTAAACAAATATTTATTGAACATCCACAAAGTTCTAGCACTATTTTAGGTACTGGATATAAAATGGTGAAGACACAAATTCTTTACTATTATAGACCTTATATTCTATTGAAAAAGAAAATCCTCAACAGGTAGGTTAAACAGATAGACTAGAAACATCAAAAGAGATGATTATTAAATCAGAGAATAGATCTGAGGAAATTACCCATAGCACAGATGATTTTTGTAAGTAGAGAATATAAAAGCAAAATTGAGTGATGTGGAAGAGAGGATAAGAAGATTCAGCACACATCTAATAGAAGTTCCGAACAGAGAGAAGAGATAATGAAGGGGAGGCATTCTTCAAAGAGAAAATGGCAGAGAATTCCTCGGAAACAAAGAAGAACACAGGCCATGGAATGAATCCTCAACAGGATAAAATTTTGTAAGAAAATCCACATCTGGACACTTCTAGTTAAAATTGAAGAGAGCCAAAGACAAGGGGAAAACCATAATAGCAAAGCAGAAGGAGAAGAAAAAGTTAGTGAGCCAGACAAACACAGAATTTGGACTGGATTGGTTCCCTGTAATAGACACTCAAATGGAAGGAAGAAATAAGTGTGAAAGGAAAAGTAAACAAATAATGGTGCAATCATGAGTCATATACAAATACAAATGAACATATGTCAAAGATTTTAACTCAATAGTGGAGGGATCAGTAAGATGTTACAACTGCTTCAAAAGAGAATTCAAACAATACACACACAGATACACAATCAGAAATGTTGAAGTAAATTGACTCATGAATGCAAAATTGGTCAATATCCACAGAGCAATGATCATTTGTATATTCCTCTGGACAAAAATCATTTGCATTTCTGTAGATGAGAATCATCTGCATTATCATAACTTTTCTGTAATTTACAGAATTGCAAAACAATTTGAAGACAACAAGAGGCCCTGGGCCCTAAAATCACAGCTACATTAGGGAATCTAAAACCACTTGCCAGTTTAAAAACAAGCATGATTATATTTAAGCAAATTTATACCTTGTGCTGCTTTATGGGGAATGTTAAAATTTTATTTATATCTAGTTTGTTTATACAATATCACAACTTATAATGATATGGGAGTTCCAGAAACATTATATGTCAACCCCTCCATCACAAGAATACTGGCTATATATAGCCTAAAGGACTTTTTGTAGGATTAGGGGCAATAAAGTGGCTTTCTTTTTTCTTTTTTTTATCCTCACCTGAGGACATTTTTTTCCACTTTTTTGTTCAGATAGAGTGGGAGGGAGAGAGAGGAAGAGAGAGAGAGAGAAACATCGACGTGAAAGGGACACATCGAGTGGCTGCCACCCGCACGACCAACCAGGGCCGGGGACAAACTGCAACCGAGGTACATGCCCTTAGCGGGAACTGAACCTGGGTCTCTCTAGACTGCAGGCCAACGCTCTAACCGCTGAGCCAAACCGGCCAGGGCTAAAGTGGCTTTCTAAATGTAGATTCAAATCACAGTTCCGGCACATAATGGTTGTTTGATCTTGGGGAAATAAATTAAAATCTCTCAGTCTCAGCTTTTTCATCTGTTAAATGGAAATAATAGTAACTATTTCATATACTTATTATGATAATCAATTATATAATACTAGTGACACACGGAGCATACAGCCTGTCACAGAGTAATCCCACAATATGGTTGTTATTTTTCTTTTAGATCAAGTCCTGATAACTTCTCATTTGTCTAAGACACACATGTTTTGAGCAGTCTTGATAAAGCTGTGAGTTACTATTTTATGGCATGTTTGTACATTATTACAGAAAGTTTTCTGGGGGAATCCCAATGCACTTAATTCGCTAGCTCCTAGCTGAAGTGTAGTGATGTGGAATTGCTGCGGCTTCCCTCACGTACCTGTCAGCGGTACCTGTCAACAGAAAGCGGAAACACCGCGTGATTTTCAATAAGTGTCAAAAAGTTCTGTGACTTAGATGAAACTCTTCTAAAAGTCTATCTTGAAACTATGTGAATAGTATTTTCCAGCATGAATTCAATTGTATTAGATCCTAATACAAGGAAACATCATTTTTTCTATAAGACTATTAAAAAACTGGCATTTTCCACACTACAAAGGGCACAGAAGAATTAAATTTGAACCTAATTTCATTCCAAGTAAATTATACATACCTAATTACATATTTTTCTGTTCAATTGAAGGAGCATTAGACATTTGAAAAATTAGACTCGCTATACCTGGACTGCTGAATTGAACAAAACAAGCAGTGCTGAAATGCCTTTTTTTAGAACCACAAAAGTTTTGTTTTTCTGAAATAATATTTTTCTATATGAAGAACTGGCATTTTTACTCCATACCCTACCCACTCATCATTCTGCTCAAATTATCATTCCAATTCCTCAGCTCAGTGGTTTTGTTGGTTTTTTTTTTTTTTTCTATTTATGGCGATTGGAAACCAACATAGATGCTATAAAAAAACCTTAGGATGCAAACTCAAAGCCCATAAGAACAGTTTTCCGGTCTAAGGGCATTTCTGGCTGAGTTTTCTATAAAACAAATGTCCATTGAGATTAACTTTAGAAATATCCTTTGTTTGACATCAGATTGTTCTCTTTTGTCACTTGCTCAACCCAGGTGAATTTCATTTTCTCTTTTCTTTCTTCGATTATCAACTCCGCAGGCACTTGCACGGAAACCCAGGCAGCTGTCAGAGGACAGAACCGCCCTTGAAATGCTGAAATGGGGAAAACAGCTTGAGAATGTTGTGAGGCAAGACAGACTGACGTGAACGATATTTTCATTTCCACTCACTTGGTGCCAAGTCAGGGCAAAGTTAGAAAAACAGTGCATGATGTGTGTAAAGTAATACTGAATGGAACAGGTGAGTGCAGAATGGAGTGAGAATGGAAAAGTGAGTCAGACGTCAAGTCACAACACTGTGACTTTATCCTTACAATACTTGTCAGTGGCAATAATGGGCAAATTTCTATTCCCGTTTAATACTAAATTAATTGATGCTGTAAGTATGTGCATTCTCTACAGAGCACAGTATAATCTTAGTGTAAAAGTAGACGGGAAAGTGGAATTTAGTTCTTAACTCCATTATGTTTCTTAAGTCACTGATTGCTGCTGCAAGCTAAAGGAGAGAAAGTTGCTGTACACAAACACAACAATTTAGGGTGCATATTGGGGGGAAGAGAGTGATCTGCTAGTAAGGCTTTAAAAAGTTACTGGGGAAGAGTATACTTTGTCTCTATAGCAGTTTTTCTTTATTACTGTTTTCTAACAAAAATAGCATCATTTTTGCAAAATAGGTGAGGGCTTTAAATTGAAAAGAACCTATATCACAGGTCTTTGAGTATGGATCCTATTACTAAATGGCCCTAAAACCACCTCAGGTTCTTAGTTCTTACTGTTTCCTTCCTATACATATAAAAAAGGAGACAATAAAATGAAGGAAAGTTTAAAATATTTTTTCTTAGGTGTTTGTTTGCTTTGTTTTGGGATTCTTGAATGGACATTGTTATCTCTCTGAAATATTATGGACACTGGAAATTTCAAAATATAGTTGTACATTCATGAAGCAATGCCATGGAAGCTAAGTCTAATTGATTAAATAAAACTTTAAAAGACTGAGCTTTAAAAAAGTTTAAGAGAATAGACGATGATAGCTAGCTAGCTAGCTTTACCCGAGGAAATTTTTTCCACTGATTTTTTTTTGAGAGAGAGTAGAAGGGAGAAAGAGAGAGAGAGAGAGAGAGAGAGAGAAAGAGAGAGAGAGAGACATTGATATGAGAGAGACACATCAATTGGTTGCCTCCTGCATGCGCCCTGACAGGGACCAGGGACAGAATCTACAACCCAGGTATGTGCCTTTGACAGGGAATCAAACCCTCAACCCTTCAGTGTGAGGGCTGATGCTCTAACCACTGAAAACACTGGCCAGGGCCAAAAACGTGTTTTAAAATGCTGGTAAAGGTACAGAGCAATAGGGCTCCTCCCTTATATACTGCTGGAGTGGTATATATCAGTAACACCTTTCTGGAATATAACTTATCAGTATGCACCAATAACTTTAAAAATGTTTGTATTAGTCTGCTCAGGCTGCCATAACAAAAATACCATAGACTAGGAGACTTAAACAACAGAAATTTATTTCTCACAATTCTGGGGCTGAAAGTCCAAGACCAAAGCACCAGAGAGTCTGTTTCTCCTGGGAACTCTCTTCCTAGCTTAGAGAATTCTGCCATCTCTCCCTGTGCTCACATAGTAGAGAGAGATTTATCTCATTTTCTTTTCTTGTAAGGCCAAAGTCCCATGGAATTACACCCCACCCTTACAACCTCATTTAACCTCAATTACCTCTTCATGTCTTTATCTCCAGATACAGTTACATTGGGGGTAAAAGCTTCAAATTTTGAATTTTAGGGGAACATAATTCAGTTCATAGCAATGTTCATCCCCTTTGACCTAGTAATTCAACTTCTAGAAACTTATTCTGTGTGTGGTATAGGTAGGGGTGCAGTGTAGGGAGAGATAAAGTAGGGAATGTAGCTTAAAAATATTTATTTTTTCAGACTATATTTTATATTGCAAAGTATATTATTTTAAATTTTGGACCAAGAAAACAAACACAATGTTCAAAAATATTAATAGTTGAGAGTGTTGTGGTACAACATAGGACAGAATATTAAATAATCAGTAAACAGGCCTTTTTTTAAAGTTTCTCTAACCATGGGAAAATGCTTCTGTTATATTTTAAAATTTAGGATGAAAAATTTGTTATGTACTATGATATCAACTATGTAAAACAGATGTATAGATGCAGAGAAAAATCATTAAGGGATATGTAACAAAATACTAACAGTGATTATATCTGGGTAGCAGATTAGGCTTTTTTTTTCAAATTTTCTTCAATAAGCATATATAACATAAAAAATTTTTTTGAAGTAAACAAGTATGTAAACGCAGAGTAAAACAAAGGAGAGTTGAATGTGTGTTATATAGGAAACCTATCAACGATCTTAATAAGAGTAATTAAATAATTTTATAACAAAATCTCATGCAAATAACTTAGAACTTTATTTGTTTATTTTTAGCTCAGTCCTTTTCTATAAACCCAAAAGGGGCACTACATCCTTATTCTACTCATGTTTACATGTTGGAGGTAGGAAAATAAGTAGAACTGCTTCTATATCTGATTGATTTCCCAATATTGGGCTATTTAAATTACAACCTGTAAATCTGATTTATGTTTCTGGCTGCTGAGGCTGCTGAACACACAATCAGCCATTTTTGTTTTGCATTGAATAATGCTTTGCCTTGTTTGCAACATAGGGATCCTCAGATTTTCTCAACACAGTTAAATTTCAGGCTTCGGTGGAGATAAAAATGAACCTGATCTTACTCTGCTGAAGAAAGCTCTTTCCCGCTCCCTCTCCTTAAGTTTGATGGGATCCCTACTGAAAATAAACTTTCATTAGTATCACAGAAAAATGTAGTCTATACTTAAACATGATTTTTGTTCTTGTGGATGGGTTTCCCTTTCATCTTACACCCATTCTCTTAATCTCCTGAGTCTTTCTATAGGAACATATTCAGAAAATAATTTATTAGCATTGACATGTATAAGTGATATATGCAACTGCCTCATAATTATTTGAACTTTCAAGCTTATATGTAATAAGTAGTCTTGCTACTTTGTTACTTTGTTGTGAATCTTCTAGGCACCCCAAAGGTATGTTGGCTTATTTGTAAATAAGTACATATATTACAGGGAGCAGACACGAGAGCGCCCAAAACTCAGTGTTTGTAGTTATAATTTATTTTTCTGAATGCTTATTCTCTATATACTTACCATTTTGCCTGCGGGCTGAAAATTTAATCTAATACATGTCAAATAAAGTCAACAACTTCAGGAGTTTATCACTGAATTCAGAGCCACCCAAATCCAAAACCTCAGAGCTGTCTTTAATCCTTGTGTCTATCATTTTTCAGCTCCCATTTCCCTCTCGAGCCTTGGACTGATATTAAAATGAGTTAATTAATGGCTAAGTACTATATACTTTGGGTTTTTATTTTTACTATAGAGATGCTACAGCGTTGGGTCATATTAACCCATATAACCATTTTTTTTTGTTTGCCACTTTAAGAACATGTAAGAGATGGTGTGTGTTAGTCTGATTAGACTGCTGTACAAAAATACCATACCTCAGTGACTTAAACAAAAAACTTTTATTTCTCACAGTTCTGGAGGCAGGGAAGTCCAAGATCAAGGGCCAGACAGATTTGGTGTCCGGTGAGAACCCACTTCCTGGTTCACAGATGGCCATTTTCTCCTTGTATCCTCACCTGACAGAAAGGGTAAGAGCTCTCTCTGGGGCTTCTTTTATTTATTTATTTTTTAACTTTATTTTTATTGTTGACACTATTATAGATGTTCCTATTTCCCACCTCTGCCCACCTCCACCAGTCCTCATCCCGCCTTTCCCTCTCGCCATCACCACTCTATTGTCTGTGTCTGTGTGTCATGCATATGTGTTCTCTGGCTAATCCCTTTGCCTCATTTCATCCAGTCCCCTCCAACCTCCTCCCCTCTGACAGTTGTCAGTCTGTTCCATGTATCCAATCCTCTGTTTCTATTTTGTTCATTAGATTCCACATATAAATGAGGTCATATGGTATTTGTCTTTCTCTGACTGACTCATTTTACATAGCATAATAACCTCCAGGTCCATCCATGCTGTTGCAAAAGGTAAGACTTCCTTCTTTTTAATGGCTTCATAGTATTCCATTATATGAATGTACCAAAGCTTTTTAATCCACTTATTTACTTATGGACATTTGGGCTGTTTCCAGATCTTGGCTATTGTCTAAGTAAAGCTACAGTGAACATAAGGGTGCATATATTCTTTCAAATTAGTGTTTCAGGATTCTTAGGATATATTCCCAGAAGTGGGATTGCTGGGTCAAAAGGCAGTTCCGTTTTGATTTTGAAGAAACTCCATACTGTTTTCCACAGTGGCAGCACCGGCTGCACTCCCACCAACAGTGCACAAGGGTTCCCTTTTCTCCACATCCTTGCCAGCACTTGTTGTTTGTTGATTATTGATGATACCTATTCTGGCAGGTGTGAGATGATATCTTATTGTAGTTTTAATTTGCATCTTTCTGATGATTAGTGATGTTGAGCATTTTTTCATATGTTTGTTGGCCATCTGTATGTCCTCCTTGGAGTAGTGTCTATTTAGGTCCTTTGCCCATTTTTAAATTGGATTGTTTGTCTTCCTGGTTTTGAGTTGTGTAAGTTCTTTATATATTTTGGAAATTAACCCCTGCCTTTATGGTCCATTAATATTTAACAAAGGCGGCAAGAGCATACAGTGGAGTAAAGACAGTCTCTTCAATAAATGGTGTTAGGAAAATTGGACAGGTATATGCAAAAAAGAAACTAGACCACCAGCTTTTACCATACACAAGAATAAACTCAAAATGGATAAAAAACTTAAAATGTAAGTCACGAAACCATAAAAATCCTAAAAAAACATAGGCAGTAAAATCTCAGACATTTTTTCTAAAAATATATTTGTATTGATTTTAAAGAGAGAGGAAGGAAGAAGGAGAGATAGAAACATAGATGAGAGAGAGACATCATCCATCAGCTGCCTCCTGCACACCTCCCACCAGGGACAGAGCCTGCAGCCCAGGCATGTGCCCTGACCAAGAATTGAACTGGTGACCTCCTGGTGCATGGAATGACACTCAACCGACTGAGCCACACCAACCGGGCTCGTAGCACTATTTTTGCAGATATATCTCCTAGGGCAAGGGAAACAAAGGAAGAAATAACAAATGGGACTACATCAAACTAAAAAGCTTTTACCCGGCAAAAGAAACCATCAACAAAATGAAAAGGGAACCTACTGTATGGGAGAACATATTTGCCAGTGATATATCTGGGGTCTCTCTTATAAGGGTACTATCCTATTCGTGAGGGCTCTACCCTCATGACCTAATCACCTCCAGAAGGCCCCCACCTCTTGATACCATCACACTGGGGATACGATTTCAGTGTATGAATAAGGGGAATACAAACATTTAGTCCATAACTGACCCGTCCCGCAGGTCAAGCAATGAGGACTCTAGAGGGGGAGTGAGGATGAGGAGGGACAAGAGACACGAGAAATGGAGACAAGACAGGGTTCTGATCAAGTCTCGTTTATTCAGGGAGAGTTCACACAAGATATAGGGGAAAAACAGGTGAAACAGTTAATGAGTTTCCCACCTGAAGCAAATTCCAGGTGGAACAAATGATAAGCAAAGAATGGCTAGCAGAGTAAACCATTATCTAGAGGAATGCAGACACTGCATGCAGAGAGACCCCGCCCTGGGGCCGGAGACGGCAGAGCAGACTGCAACAGAATGGATGCCATGCAAAAGTCTCCCACACATAACAATGCAGAAAGCTGTGTCATGTATATATTCATGAGTGATGCTAGTCTGCTCAAAATTACTTGTGTGAAATAGTTCTCAATTATCCACTCCCAGCTTTTCTCTGTGAAGTAGAAGTTAGTCACTTTCATTAAAAGTTATAAACAAGAGGTTGAAACTATACCTAGAGTAATAGGAATAGAGAAATACAACTGCACTTTCATTTTTCAAGGAAAAATAGTTTTGTTCCAAAGCAACACTCTTTAGGCTGTTTGGTCTCTGGGCGACTTTACACTTTTAGGATGTATTGCATACACCAAAGAGCTTCTGTCTCTGTGAGTTATAGCTATCTATACTTACTGTATTGGAAATTGAAAAGTTATTTATTTATTGATTTAGTTGAAGATAGCAATGATGAACATATTGCATACTAACATTAATATCGTCCTAGTATTATTATTGTATTAGTATTATTTTGACATCACAGAGGCCCTAAGAGAGAACTACTTTTGTAAAAAGTCAGTTCATTCCAGAATATGAAAGAGTATAATTAAAAACAAAACTCTGGCCCTGGCCAGTTTTGCTCAATGATTAGAGCATCGGCCTGCGGTCCAGAGAGACCCGGGTTTGGTTCCTGCTAAGGGCATGTGCCTCGGTTGCAGTTTGTCCCCCACCCTAGTTGGGGTTGTGTGGGTGGCAGCCAGTCGATGTTTCTCTCTCTCTCTTCCTCCCTCTCTCTTACTCTATCTGAAGATGAAAGCAAAAAAAAAAAGTCCTTGGGTGAGGATAAAAAAAACACACAACAACAACAACAAAAAACTCTGAAAGTGAATTTATTTACTTTGATTTCTAATATTTGAGACTCGATAAATGCTATGAAATGTTAATAATTATAACCAAATTTTCTCAAGTCTGATGAGCTTGCTTCCTTGGTTTACTGATTAGTGCTTTACCTATAATATCATAGTTTGTTTACGTCATGTTTAATCTGCCTATGTAGCACAGAGTCTGTGTCTCACCAGAATAATTTTTTGGGGCTTTATATTGACATTATTATACCCTTGATTATTTAAGAAAAGAAAGACAAAGGTTCTCACTTATGAAAGACCTAAAGTTATATATAGTAATCTTAGTATTCTGTGTTTGTTTATATATTTATTTTTTAAATAACAATAGAAATTCATTTCTCACAGTTCTGGATACTTGAATCTGAAGTCTCACATCAAAGTACTGGCAGATTGTGTGTACTGGTTCATAGACAGCCATTTTTTTCTATGCTTATTTTTAAATGTTATATTGTCACTTCTATTAAATAGTTTCTCAGGCACCCATTATCCTGTCTTAATCAAGTCCCTAAATTTCCTTTGAAAACATTTTAAATTACCTTCGTACAACTCAACATGAAATATTTTTAAAAATTAAATTTTAGTATATCTTTTATACAAAAACTAACTTTGAGATTTCCTGGAAGGAAATCTTGGTAAAGCCCAAAGATTTATTCTTTTAATTTGTAAAAAAGGAGATGCTAGAAATAATAAGATTAAATTTGCCTGATGTGTCATGATAGTAAGAGTTGCACAGGAATTTGTCAAATTAAAATGTGCATACAGACTGGCCTAGGTTTAATATGTATAAGAAAACGTTACTGATATGAATATTTTGGAAATCAAATGCTTTACTAAAAGTCCCTGAAGATTTGTTAATGCCATCACTGACCATAATGTTTTACACTCAGTTGAACAGAGACCATCAAAATTCTTATGAAGTAGTTATTCAATGTTCTGTGATAGAGAAATTCATTCTATTCTGATTTTAATGGTTATAGTAATAAATTAGTATGATGATGGCTTAGACCAAACTGATGTGAAGGTGGTGAGAATAATCAGTTTCTGGGTAAATGTTGCAGGTAGAGCCTATAGATTTATTCAAGTGTTGGATATGGATTAGTGAGCAAAAGAGAGTAGTGCTTAAGCAGGTAGTGAAACTGAGATGCCATTGATGAGATGGGGAATGCCATAGGAGCGGTTGGTTTGGGAGGACTACAAAGGATTTAATACTGAATATTAAGTTATTAATAATAAATAAAAAGGCCATGACATTGCCTGGCTGGTGTGGCTCAGTGGATTGAGCGTCGTCCCATGCACCAAGAAGTTGCTGGTTCAATTCCCAGTCAGGGCACATGCCCGGGTTTTGAGCTCAATCCCCAGTAGGGAGCATGCAGAAGGCAGTTGATTAATGTTCCTCTCTCTCTCTTTTTCTCCCCCTTCCTCTCTCTAAATTAAAAAAAAAGGCAGTGACATTAATACAAATAAAATAAAGTGTATAACAAAAACATAATACATTTTTATGTGTAATAATGTTCTATAAAATATAAATATTTAAAAATATTATGAATAAAATAACAGTAAAATTGTAATAAACAAAATAAAGAATAAACTATTAATAATCATATTATTAATTTTTATTAATAAATATTTACATTGTAGGTGTTAAGTAGGAATCTAAAATTCAGGGCACAGACCCAGGTAGGAGATATAAATTTAGATCTTATCAAATCATTATAGCCACGAGACTGGATGAGAACACCTGGGGAGAGAGTGTAAATAGAGAAGAGTAAAGGTTCATACATGTTGTCATAAATGGAGGGATTTCCTTCTTTTTTATGGCTGAATAATAAACCATTGCGTATATACGTTATGTAGATATAGATATCGATATAGATCACATTTTCTTTATTCATTCATCCATGGACACAGGTTGTTTCCATATCTTAGCAGATGTAAATAACGTTGCAATGAACATGGGGGTGCAGATCATCTCTTTGAGATAATGATTTCATTTCCTTCAGATATATACCCAGAAGAGTAATTGCTGGATCATGTGGTATTTCTATTTTAATTTTGTGAGGAACTGTCACTGTTTTCCAC